ATTGTCAGAGAATATCGATTGTTGATGTTATATTTTTTTGTATTGTTTTTCTGTCTTCTCCCACAAACAGTGTCTATCTACAACACGATATTTCGATACTTTCTGCGGATTTCAGAAGGTCGTACAAGAAAATACGTGTTGGTTTTCACCAATTTGTTTTTTTTTTCTATGTGAAAAATAATACACGTAAATGGGCATACGTAGAATAATACACGACAAATGAGTCGAAATAGTATATTTCGTAACGAGTGCAAAAAAGTGTTTTTTGGCGAGTGGGAGGTTTTAATCCCACGAACTAAAAAACATTTTTTCACGAGTTACGAACAATATTTTTCATCACAATGTGGCGGAAATTGGACTTTTAGGCACGCGGAGCGTGCCGAAATAGTTATTTTCATGACAAGGTCCACAAAGTATTTTCTGACGAATGTGGCTTTGTAGGCCGAGCCGAAGGCGAGACCTATAATCACATTCGTCAGAAAATACTTTTGGACCGTGTGATGAATGCAATTTTTCGTCAGAAGGCCCGTAAGAAGCGAGGTTAGAATCGCGGTTTACCGGGTCTTCTCATGAAAAGTTCACTTTTCGTCACAGCGTGATGAAAAAGTTTCTTTCTCTTTTATGTATTCGAAAGGGTCTCATGAGTTGCTGATTTCATGATTGNCTTTTGGACCGTGTGATGAATGCAATTTTTCGTCAGAAGGCCCGTAAGAAGCGAGGTTAGAATCGCGGTTTACCGGGTCTTCTCATGAAAAGTTCACTTTTCGTCACAGCGTGATGAAAAAGTTTCTTTCTCTTTTATGTATTCGAAAGGGTCTCATGAGTTGCTGATTTCATGATTGCAACACGGAGAGAAATATTCAATAAAAATTACGTATCTTTTTCGTAATTCCGGAGCGAAATGTGGTCGTAGGAAATTTTACGGAACTGTCACGGAATTTTTCCGGAGCGTTCCGTAATTTTTTTCTGAATCTCCTGTGAAAAATTACGATACCGTCAATTAAATTTTCTGAGTCAATTCCGTAATCGATAAGTGAATTGTGAGTTCGGTAATTTTTACTGAACATTTCTCTCCATGAAGGGATTTTGATTGAAATCACCTGAAATTAATGAAATCCCAGGATTTCACTTGATTTCATACGATTTCAGTCTTGAGTGACAGACTGTTAGAAAAAAAAGAAATTTCATGGACAGTTGACTAACAATTTTCAGGACAGTGACACTGAATACGATTTAGAGGGAAAAAAATCGTGAAATTTCGGGTTTCACTGAAAATTCAGCAAAATTGCAGAATTTTACTGAATTTTACAGGACATAAAGACGAAAATTCCTTAATTTATTTGAATGTTCAATCTAATATGAATATTCAGTGTCAAATGCATTGAATTTTCACTGAAATCTGAAATTTCATGATATTCTCCCTCTAAATCGCATTCAATATCACTATCCTGAAAATTTAAGAATGCATTTACCATAATTTTCTGGTTTTCTATTTATTTATTTTTAAGGAAAAATGGAATAAAAATTTCCAGAATTTGGCACGGAAAATGCAGACAAAATTTTTTAACAGTGCACCGTGAAATCTTCAATAAAACTGATCCTCCGCTGATTTCTGACACCTCTCATTCCCAAAATACTTGAAAAATCCTCGTGACTATGACAATCATGAAACGATAATAAATGTTTGCAACGCAACAAATTCAATCAAGATGTCTTTCTCCGAAATTCAATACAGAGAATCAAAGGTAACGATCCTCGGACATCGTCTTTTTATCGTTAATAGATCGGGGTCTCGCGCGTTCCGATAACCATTGGCCGGATATTCCCGAGATAAAGCGGAATCTAATGGGGATAAAAAGGTGGGGTCCAGGGTTGAAACTTGAATGTGCGAAACCGTCTGGGGGGCAAGCGTTAAATCCCTTCCCCGGAGAGCTGTTAGCCTTTTCCGGTCACTTTCCACCCCTAGCTCGTATGGTATGTGTGGAGAGAAAAAATCCGCCGTAATCCGGCGTCATTCGGATTTACGGCTGCAAATCTATTATTCCTCTAGTGTTGTGTACATTGGGTTTATCAGAAATTGCATTGACAATTTCCNGGGGGTGAAAGTTTAATAATGAAATTCAGTAGTGAAGCGGTAAAACGATTCAAGTCGACTTAGCTCTTAGCTGAGTTTTCGAGGAATATCTCCGAAACTAAGGGAAATGGCGAAATTCTTGTTATGACCTTTTTTGGAGAGCGTATTGAGAGCTGCAAAAAAGGTTGGATAACAAATTTGGCTATCTGCCTTAGATTCCGAGATATTCATTGAAAGCTGACCAATAGTCGAAATATATGACTCCTACATCTTTTATGTTTTATATTTTTTTACATATAAGAGGGTGAAAAATATATGATAAAAACTATGTTGAGTATATGACCCATATACTCATCAGATATACTGTATGTTTTCATGCATATGTCCCTATCTGGAGTGAAATGTATGCGAAAATATATATTGGAGGCATGAGTCATGTACTTGTCCCGTATGTAATCGTATATAATTCTTCATCTATAGTTCATATACACTGAGAGAAAAAATTATTCCTGCCAAGGATTGATATTCTCGTCAGAAGATAATATTTTTTCAGAACGAATTTTTCCAGGACAGTTATTTTCAGAGAGTCCAAGTCTATCCTCTAAAATTACAGTGATGTTGAACAATCTGATTATTATGCTACATATGACCTTGACAAAATGTTCTCCGATATCTTCCGAATTTTACAAATTGGCAATTTTCTCAGGTAAAGAGAATTGGAATAATTCCAAATGTTAATAATTATTATTGGAGTTTCTTCGAGATCATATGCAGAAGAATATTCTTATAGATCACCATAATTCTCACGCTTGGAAATGATTTCGGAGCATCTGGAAATGACTGGCCTGGAGAAATACGTTCCAAAAGAGATATTTTCTTCTACTAAGAGTATGAAAAAGATATCACCAATAACATTTTCTTAGAAGGAATAAATTTTTTTCTCAGTGTACAACCATGGGCCAATTCACCATATTTTCGCATGTGCGACATGTATGGATTATGTAGGACATATATTTTTCCATGGGGGAACCGTAACTTACGGCGAGTTTGAGCGCAAAAAACACTCCAGAAAGCGAAAAAGACGATTTCTTAAACGTAATTTATGTTTAGGTTTTTGGTCGGGGGGTTGACATTACAGTAGAGGCTTCGTATAAGATACTTCTCTATAAGATACCTCGCGCTCCGAGCGCTCGAGGCCTACCCCCACTCTCGGCACTTTTATCGCCTCCCGAGTATTTATGTTCCGTGAGCTTCTTATAAGATACTTATTGCCCCGGTCATTTTTCAACGGGAAGAGAGTAGTTATAAGGATCAAACGGTGTTAAGGGTCAAACTGGAGGGACGAACGAAGTGATCATGAGGGTCTAATGACCTTAAGGGGGGGTCACACCACTTTTTTCAAGTAATAGAAATAAACATCGATTTTTTTTCACTTTTCTCATCGAAAAATCGTAATTCTTCGTCTGTAATTAGTCTCGAGTCCACCAACAATCCCCCAACATCAGCTGCCATTCTATCACGCGGGGTTTAGAGAGAAAAGGAAACGCGGGCGATACAAATTCAAAACATTAAACACATATAAATTGATTGGTTATCGATATTCATTCAGGGAAAATGAAAATTTCATTGAATTCGGGCGCAACGAGCGAGGTATCTTATTTGAAGCCTGCTGATCCCTATTTTTCTCCTTTCGATGGGCGCGCGTACACGGAGACACATTTTTGATCAAAATTATCCTACCGTTCTATAAAAGTGTACCATGAGTCATCGTTTCCTCATTTCTATACTGAAGNCGAGTATTTATGTTCCGTGAGCTTCTTATAAGATACTTATTGCCCCGGTCATTTTTCAACGGGAAGAGAGTAGTTATAAGGATCAAACGGTGTTAAGGGTCAAACTGGAGGGACGAACGAAGTGATCATGAGGGTCTAATGACCTTAAGGGGGGGTCACACCACTTTTTTCAAGTAATAGAAATAAACATCGATTTTTTTTCACTTTTCTCATCGAAAAATCGTAATTCTTCGTCTGTAATTAGTCTCGAGTCCATCAACAATCCCCCAACATCAGCTGCCATTCTATCACGCGGGGTTTAGAGAGAAAAGGAAACGCGGGCGATACAAATTCAAAACATTAAACACATATAAATTGATTGGTTATCGATATTCATTCAGGGAAAATGAAAATTTCATTGAATTCGGGCGCAACGAGCGAGGTATCTTATTTGAAGCCTGCTGATCCCTATTTTTCTCCTTTCGATGGGCGCGCGTACACGGAGACACATTTTTGATCAAAATTATCCTACCGTTCTATAAAAGTGTACCATGAGTCATCGTTTCCTCATTTCTATACTGAAGTTTAGTACAAATTAATATATGATGATCAAATTTTATTCTACGTTAGTGAAATTTTATCTTGACGCATAATAAATTTTACCCTTCCAGTCCAATAATTTTTATATAGATAACAATGAAAATTTTAAAACGGTAAATTTTACCCTACCGGTACAGTAATTTTCACTCCACCGGCAGGGTTATTGTTATTTTTATCAGGATAAAATTTCTCTAACGTAGAATAAAATTTGATCATCATATTAATTTTAACTAAATTTCGGAATAGAAATAAGGAAACGATGACTCATGATATACTTTTATAGAACGGTAGGATAATTTTTATCAAAAATTTCTCTCCGTGTAGTGGGGGCACAGGGGTTCCCGGAATTCCATGCTCCTACTGTCCCTAAGGTATCTTATACGAAGCCTCTACTGTAATATGTTGACAGAACAAATTTTGCTCTCAGTGAAAGGGAAAATTGAGGGCTCGGTACAATTTGGAGCATTCGAGGATTCGTGTCAGGACTTTCTGTCATTGATTTGATCATTGGATGAGGAAGAGCGTGATAGGGAAGTAAATCGGGAGGTACTAACCATCCTGTCGTTTATCCTCCTGCAGTAGATCCTGACAATAAATTCCAGTTGCCTGAAGGTGCAAATAGCCAAGATGCCGGGCCAATATCTGGCCCCCCGGTATTCGTTTCCAAGACTCGGAAGAGATTTCAAGAAGAGCTTTCCCGGTTTCCGGCAATTCATTCGCTGAGGGTAGAGGATTTATCGAGAAGGCACGTCCGCACCAGGACAACCAGGCTGCCACGTGGTTAGCATTCCAGTCCGACGGATCTTAAACGATAATGCATTCACTCAATTACCAGATAAAACTGAGATAAAGATTGAGAGACGATTCTTGAATGGTAATCATAATTGCCGAGATGGGTTTTATAATTCTTTAACTATATTTTAGAATTTCAATCGACTGCGCTCGAGGAGAAATTTTTTGAAAGCTGTTCTTAGAATTTGGTTCAGTTTCGTCACATCGTTTCTGCGGAATGAAAGTGAACGAGTGGATGAATGGGCTGTCAATGAGAAGGAAATTTTGCAATTGTGGTGATCACATTAATGCGCCGAATTTTCTAGTAGTTTTGAAAAGTTTTCGATCTCGAGAATTAGGTGAATGGAAATTTTTAGTGAAAATTTTCGGAAACTTTTTTGAATAATTTCATCACGTGACAGTTGCACTGGAATTCCAAAAAATTCAGATTTGAAAATTCACAATTTGATGAAGAAATCCACGAACACCGTAAATTTTAGTTCTATTATTCCTTGAAAATAAGATAGTTGGATCTTAATCATTTGGAAATTTATTGTAAATTGGTACTGATTATTTTTCCAACCCAAATATCGGGCAATATAATTGGCCCATTCGACATCACGTGGTACAAGCTACAGGGTTTTCAACTGATAATTTTTTGATAATTTTCTCTGGTAGTTGCTATATAAAAAACAAAACATCATGCAGTCGAATTAACCCCTCGTCAAACTGACAGATTGAATTCAATTGTGATAATCCGAGGATTTTTATTCGAAATGAGTGTTAATTATACAATTTTCGTTTCTCAATTGTGAGTTTCGTCTCATGGTCCAATTATATTGCCCGACATTTGGATTGGAAAAATAATCCCCCGAATACCACACGAGCTTCAAAATTAATCGGGCATTTTCCTCAAGGTTCTCTGCATACAAACGAAGTCGTCAAGTTTTTCCGGAAAAAAACCTTTTTTAACCTGACAGACTTGACTCCTTCGTTTGTTTGCAACGAACCTATCGGAAAATACCCGATAATTTTGAAGTTCTTGTGGTATTACAAGTGAATATTCATGTTCTAACTGAATATTCATGTTTTGTACATTGTTTAAAATTTTTTTTAAATTCATGGAAGATATTATAGCAAATCTGATGAAAGTGAAATTGCATTGCATTTAGAGAAAAAATGGTTATGAAATTTCAAGTTGTGAGTAGAATTCACAGAAATTCATGAATTTTCAGTGGAACATGAATATTTTGAAACAAAATGATATGAATTTTCAATTCTTCTTTGAAGTTTCCTAATTTTTCTGAATTTTCACAGAATAATTGAACTGAAAAATCGAATATTTTATTGATTTCTAGATCATTTGGACAGAAAATCAATGGAATATTTGATTTTTCAATGACACGATTTCCTTAAATGTCAGTGGAACTTAATTTTGATTGAATATTTCTCTCTCCGTGTAAACGTAATTTACGTTTAGGTTTTCCTATGCATCCTTGTTACTTCCACGGAGAGAAATGTCCAGTAAAAATTACGGAACTCACAATTCGCTCACCGACGGTATCGTAATTTTTCACAGGAGATTTCGATAAAAATTACGGAATGCTGCGGAAAAATTCCGTGACAGTTCCATGAAATTTCCTCCAACGCCATTTCGCTCCGGAATTACGGAAAAGATACGTAATTTTTATTGAATACTTCTCTCCGCGTCGTCAATATCCACCGACTGTTCCACCTCAAACCGCCTCCGGCCCAATTTTCCATTTTATTTTCCTCAAAATCATGACTCACTTGTTGGTACCATAACCCGATCCTCCTTACTCCCTTCCGCATCACAATGACTCGGCTTATCGGCCGTCACCTCCCCGCGATTCGCCGATTGCACTTCACTGCACTTCTCCCCATCATCGCCCCCCTCATCGTCGCTAGTCTCCATGCCCCCATCGATCTCCAAATAATCACCGATATCAGTCTCCATATTCACACCAAAATCCCATCCATACCTGCTCAGGTACTCTGGCCACTCCAAACTATCACTGAATGCACTCCTCTCGCCACAAAAATCAGCGACGATTGGACCCATCGGCTGAATGCTGGAGCAATCATCTTTGAACCAAGACGCAATTTCTCTTGGCCCGCTGGATGAGCAAAGACTGATGCCCTGGCACGACCGGGGCAGTCTTACCTCCGCTCCTTGATGATTCACAGACATCAGTTGCTCACAACTCTCTCGATTGCCGCCGGATGAAAATCACGTCCAAGTGACTCGTTCACTTTTTAATTCTCGGTAATAGTTTCGAATATTCGTCATACATACTATCCCAACACCATTATTATTATTATCATTTATGTACTTGATAATGTGGAGGTCAAGATCATGCGGAAGTTCGAATTGATTTTTGTCGATTCTTTTTTTTCCAATCAAAATGTTCTCAATGTTTTTCAAATTCTGATTTTTAGTCGTTCACTCCATACAATTGAAAAGCTGACTTTTCAACAATTTTGAAAAAGAATGGGCTTTTTCGCGAAACCTTCAATTTTCGTTCAAATTTATCATTTTAGTTATATCATTAGGACGGTTGAGAACAATTAAACTTGACACAATTAAAAATTCGCGAAAAAAATTCTTGAATTAATTTCGAAAATGGATTTCTCCAATTTAATAATTGACGTTTCCGTGAAAATTTCGATCGTCACTGGTCTCCGGTCGATCCAGGAATCGACAAAATTTCGCTCAACTCGAGCCTATTTTTTTTTCAATCCATCTGAATGGGTCTGAGGGAGGGGATATTCGTAGTACATTCGAAGAGGCACTTTCCCGCGCTGGTTTCAATCTCCCGTGACGTCAGGGTGGTCACACGCGGTTATGGAATGAAATATTCTCGGGGATCTCTCTGGAAAGAGTGAATGGATCGCGCGGGAAACGGCGATCCAATTGGCATCGGCGAGGGCCCCGGGAATTCCAGGAAGCTCCGGGTCCAGCGGCAACAAGTAGAAGGGGGAGGGGGGCGGATGCATCGCCCAACGCTGAATCACACCGGTCCAGTCGCTCTTCGCCATCTTAGCCCATTTTTTCAAAGGTTTTTTTGTTAGGGCCTTTTGAAGAACTGCGGCAGCTGGAGCGCGATTTTTAACTGTTTTCCTCTTGATACGAGTCAACCGGATATTTTTTTTTGTTTAACCACGTTTTTATCCAAAATCACAAAAGTACTTACATTTATTTACAGTTATTTACATAAAAAAAACAGGTATATAAAAAAATTAACGCATAGTATTTGGATTGTGTAAACTTTGGTCACTTTGTAACTCTCTAGTTTTAAACAATGTATGTGTAGCTTTGATGTTTCCATAACAATATTTTTAGAATTTTTAATATGCTCCATTCAGAGGCAGTGAATATTTTGTATGTTGCGCTAAAAAAAAGGAAAAAATTGAAAAAAGAAAAAAAGATGAATTTGTTTGTATTTATAGTGAAAAAAAAGCGCTCCTGTAATTACAGAATAAAGAGAGAAATAGAGATTTTTTGTATACAAAAAATTCTATTTTTTATGTGCGTTCAATCGGAATGATGTTTAATAATAATTGTATATGAGATAACAATATTACCAAGAATGATGCTATTTCATGTATGATACTGAACTAAGTTTTTCAGTTCTTTAATCTCGTTTTTGTTTTCGTTTATATAAAAAAAGAAGTTCTCAGGGTGGACGGAAATTATTCCTATATACCCTGATATTAGTCAACCGGATATCGGAGGAAGGGCATGAGTCGACGTATGACTCGACACACATGCCCATGAGATTTTTTCATTCTTGGGTAATTTTGGCGGAGTATGAGTATGAGTCTGGAATGCTGAGAGGGGTTTTGGGTAATGAATTTGTGGTGTTGGCGGAAGAGATGAGTCAATTTCGATTTGAAGCATTTGAAGCATCAACTTCAATAATGACGTGATGAATCGTATAAAATCTATCAAATTGTCAGTCGATCTTGTGTCCCTAAATTGAGAAGTCATCACGAAATATCGAATAGTGTGACATTTTTACTACGCTATTTAGATGGAATACGACAGTTGCATAAGATTTATCCTATTTAATCCTATTCCTATTCTAAAAAAGAACATACACTTAAAGTCGATAACTATCGATATCTCGCACGTCTGTCGCGTTTATTCCTCATTGGTTCACAATCGTCGTAGGCGGCAAATTTAATTCAGGATTCATTAAATTTTGAGATTTCCAATTATTATTGTTACAATTACAGCGAGCTGTAGCGCGCGTTTGGTCTCATCCTATTCCTATTTATTTTTCTATCATAAATAGGAGAAAGGAAATTGATCTCGATATATCTTGAAAATTTCGAATCACTGTCACCGTAATACTGAAACCGAAGCGCCACTACGTGAGGAGATGGGAAGGCGCGTGCGTAGCACGCGCGACCGATCCTTATTACGAAAGGAGCTGATGCGGTATTCTCGAAATAATCAAACTGCGAGATATGGATCATTTTTTCTCGATTTATGAAACTAATCGATGTCTGTCACGTCATATCCGGTCTAACCTTCAAGGCGCTTGGCGCGAAGCGCGCCTTCTTATGCTAGTCCTCATTACTAAAAGAGCTGATGCGGTATTCTCGAAATAATCAAACGGCGAGATATGGATCATTTTTTCTCGATTTCTCGCGCCTTCTTATGCTAGTCTTATCGTAAAAAGGAGAAAGGAAATCGATCTCGAAATATCTCGTTTTCCTATCGTAAAAAGGAGAAAGGAAATCGATCTCGAAATATCTCGTTTTCCTATCGTAAAAAGGAGAAAGGAAACCGATCTCGAAATATCTCGAAAATCTCGAATAAGCATAAGCGTAAGACCGAAACCGAAGCGCCACTACGTGAGGAGATGAGAAGGTTCGTGCGTAGCACGCGCGGTCGTATCGTAAAAAGGAGAAAGGAAATCGATCTCGAAATATCTCGAAAATCTCGAATAAGCGTAAGCGTAAGACTGAAATCGAAGCGCCACAACGTGAGGAGATGAGAAGGCGCATGCGCAGCACGCGAGGCCCATCGTGTGTTACGATTTTTATTATTATACTATTATACGATTATTTCATTATTAATTGTTTTCAGTAAAAGTATGAATAAATAGATTTTCAATTGACTAGCTTGGAAACATTAGTGGCAACACTGTAGGATAATGTGACGAGTGAGAGGTGAGAGAGGTCCCGCCAAGTGACAGCTGACCAAGCCGTCGTTGCCACGTCTACTCCTGTTCACGGTCTCCCATGATTCTGGTTAGAAATTGTTAATAATAAAAAAAACTAAACGATAAATCGTCACCTAACAGGTGCCAATATTTTTTATTATTCTTTTCTCGTTTTTGGGAAAAAAATTATATTTTAATCTTTGTTTTAACCGGAGCTGTGTCAAATTTAGCGTTTTTCACATAAGACCCTGTGTTAAATAATGAATTTTCAACATTTTCATTTATAAAAACGAACGACAATTAAATGAGGAAAAAAATTACGATTCCGAATCACGCAGAGTTTTTAGGCCATTTGTTGTAGTTTTTAAAAATCTTTTAATTGAAATATGACCTAAGGGTAGAGCCACTTTAACGATGTCCAAGCGAGAAGTAGGATATTCGAAAAATGCAGCCAATTTTATGAAACTTTCTTCACATATTATTTAATCAATTTAGGCACTTCTTGCAAAATTGCAGAAACCCCAGGTTCAGGACAACAACAAAAATGAATTTTAAAGTGGCTGCTTGTATATGAGGTTAAGTGGGTCATCGATAATTTCAGTATTTTTTCCACATTGCCGACTGGTCGATAGGGCGGTCGGGTAGGGAGATTGTACGGGTTATCCAATGCTCCCTTTAACCTCATGTAAATGTAGCAACTTTAAAATTCATTGTTGTTGTTGTCCTGAACCTGGGATTTCTGAAATTTTGTAAGGGGTGCCTAAATCCTGAACCTCTCTCCTGAACATCGTTAATCCAAGCATTGAAAATTGTGAGGATGCTCTAAAAATTACAAAAAAAACCTCAAACTCCTGTAAATATACAATAACTTACGTTCCATTTATTTATTGCATTTCTTAACTCTGAAGGACTGAAGAACGTGCTTTACACTTAGAAATTAACAATAATAGTAATGAAGCTAAATAATCCCCTCATTGTCTCTTCTTAGCAGCCTTAACAGCCTTTGGTTTCTGCTTTTCCCCACCCGAGAGGAAGGACGTAATTACTTCCGACATTTCGGGCATGTTGTAACTCGTCAGATTATTCAACTGCTCCATCTCCTTCCTCGTCTCGGGGTCGTTCATTAGCTTTGGCAGGATCATGATAAGGACTAGCGGTAGAATCATCATGAGGACCTGGAAAAACAATTAATTGCAGTTAATTGCATCATGAGGACCTGAAAAAACAATTAATTAATAAAAGTCGTCATCAGGGTGACCACATTGACAAGTTCAATTTTCTAATCTCAAGTTTGGGACCTGAATAATTCATTTTTCAGTCACAAACACTTGAAATATTGCTCATTAATGAATAATTAATTGTTAAAGGTTACGATTTCAAACGCTTTGAAGTCGCTAATGACGTCACACAGACGGTCGAGCGCTGGGCCAATCACAGAATGACTCGAGCTGACCTAACCCAATCTTGAGGCGTGCCTCAGCTAATGGAGGAAGACAACTCCCCACTCTCTTCTTTTTCGACCAAAAAAGCATTACTGACCGTTTTCGTGACGTCATGACTGAAAAATTGGCCTCGAAAACGACTGGTTTTCAATTAATTATCATGAGATATCTCTATTACGTGAATCATTTGAAGCGTACCCTCCATTTCCAAGGGTTCAATGCATTTTCACAATGACGAATCAATTAAAAAAAAAAAGAACTAAAAAGTGAATTGAAAAATTGAATTCAACATTCACAAATTTCATTTTTTCATGCACTGCAGTATATCAATGAAGTGTGAAGATTGAAGAAATTATAGGATACGCAGAATCCTAAATAGACTGCGAAGTGGGATCTTCATTGAACTGTAAATCCAGAAATATCGAATCAAAAATATGAACAGATTA